CACACACACACACACACACACACACACACACACACACACACACACACTTAAAATGCTATGAACGGCTCCAGCTGCCTGGGATCAATGTTCACCTTGGCTCCGGTGACTTTCCCTCTCTTGTCAGGTATTGATCAAAGACGAGGCGCTGACATGTGAAAACACTCCTGCACTTGTGTGTCTTTCACTATTGTGCATTTCTTGTTTATTCAGCAATTGTAAAGGAGTATAAGACAATAGCTTCTAGCTCCTAGCCCTTGGCGAAATCCCTCATCTTGCTGCTATTTCTTGCTCTCCATCATCCCAGAGACTCACTGATGGCACCTTAGCATCCTCTCAGGGCAAACACAGCAGTTTGATTCTTAATCCTGTTACCAGAGGTGATTTTTACAACTTCCAGGTCCCCTTTCAGTCAAGTCAATGGGTCTGAAGCCTGATCCACTGCAGGCCTCCTCAGGCTCAGTAAGCCTTAACCTTGGAGCCCCCCCCCAAGAGGCCCAGGCCAACAGGGAAGGAGATAGGGAGGGGGGGGGGGGGGGCAGGCCAGGGGGTGTCGGAGGTGTGTGTGGAGAAACCAAGGACCTGCCACATTATATGCTTTAACATGACTGGCAAATCCAGCATGGTTAAACAAACTTAACCTTCATTTGTGAAACGGTGCAAATCAAAGGGCAAAAAACGACTTGTGCAAGTAATTACCACCGGGGGAGAGCAACAGGGTAAAGGAAGGATGGAGGGGTGGGAGGGACGAGGTGGTGGTGGTCGGTCTCAGGGACAGCCCGGCATGAACAGGTTGAATGGAAGGAAATGGGAATCATTTAAGGCGAGGGGCATTTTTAATGAGTTTGCACAGAAATTGATTTTCCACTGTAATCTTTTATTTATATGCGGCGGGCGGCGTGTCCCCGGCAGAGTGAGGGTCAGCCCTCAGAGCGCCCTGTCAAGGCCCCCACTCCTTCAAACAACACCCCAAAGTCCAGGGAAAATGGTATTCTAGCGAAGGCAAATATTGTCCCGTCTCGGCTTAAGGGGCGAGAAGGCTGTTTGTTCTAAAAAACTTGCCCTCGCTCCATTTTTTCACTGTTAGAGAGGAAACTATTTAAGAGAGGAAGGCTTAAAGATACGTGTAAAGATGAAATTAAAACAGAATTAGCTCTGAAATAAATATTGATTAGAAGCATTAAATTAAAACATATTAAGACATATTCAGAATTAGACTCACTGTACTTTAGACATAGTTAAAATACATATTTTGCTTATTTCACTTTGTTTTTACTCGTTTATTTTGTCACAAGTGTCCAATCCCGTTAGTGGGAGATATGTTTTATTCATGGCGTTGGCGTATTTATTTTAAGTATTGATATGGATCTTTCAATTTTTTTAATGGTTTTGTCTGCTTCATCACATGTAGTCAGTAAAATGTATCTTGATTCAAGGCTGACCTCAGCATGCGGCATTCAGCTGATGCATTTAAGTGACTCAGGCAAACAGAAATGATAAAAATCTTTACCCCAGATCATAAAAGGGATTAAAACAAGCCATAATGTTCCTTCCATTTTTTATTAAGAGTTATTACGCAATCGGACATAAATGTCCTTTCTTGTTTTGAAAGTGCTCAGGAATTTTAACTGAGTCGGCATAAAATACAATGTAAATGATAAATGTCTAATTAAAAACGTCTTGTAAAACATAACCTAAAACAATATAGTATTTCTGTCTCTGATATGTTGTGGCAGTGATCAGTATAATGTGATAAACATTGCAAAAGATCATTTAAAATAAATCTATACATAAATTTAGGAATCATAGAATATTTGTAAATATATATTAATACCTCTATTTTTTGTAATGACTTTAAAATACAATACAAACACAAGCTCTGAATCAGATCAGTATGTCCAGTTTTAATTGGCTTATCTAAACTGGACAATGAAAAATTATTTATTGGATCAAATATCACGTCATATTTAACTGTATAATATTTGGTTTTCAACATAAATGTTTTCTATTCAGATATGGTATATCCATAAAGTAATACCTTCCTCTGTTTCCGCAGGTCTCGTGCTCTGGTAATGAGGCCTTTAAAGCGGTGCACCGGCTCTGTGCTGTCTGTGCTGCTGCTGAAGTTATTGCGTGACGCTACCGCCACCTAGTGGTAAAAGTGACAACTACAGCAGCTTTAAAATTCTCTGAGTGGTCACTATGTTGACATTATATTATATGACACAACACATGGAATAATTCTATTCAAGGAGAACTTTCTGCTTTTAACCACTTTGTAGTTCAACTGGAGCACCTTAGGGGGTCAAGTGTCTTGCTCAAGGGGCAGCTGGATGATACCAAACAGGAGAGTTACATAAAGAGTGCTATCCTGTTGATTTAATGTAAAGCTTCAGACAAATAAAGGCAAACTCAAATCTGGAAAGTTAAGTCATGCTTTCTTTTCTGGTAATGAACTTTCAATCAATCAACTTTTGACCACAGAGCTGTTAGAGACTGGGAACTAAATTCACATTATTGCACAGTATTCTGAATAAATATTGAGTTACAGTAAAATCAGCTAATTTCTTCAAAAAGTTTCAACTGGTTGCAAAGCTCTTCATTGCACTTCTAAAGCTTCGAGTCACCTGAAAGTGAAGATGTTCTCCTGCTCGCACATCTGTGTGTGGCTTTAAACAAACAACCTTCATCACTTTTCATCACGCTCAGCGATCACAAATCAGCCGATACGATCTTGTTAAGAGACCTGTGCATAAGAGCAGAACATCATGGCCGTTTGTTGCTGACTGATGATCCTTTCCTTCATCGCTCCTTGACTTCTTCAACTTCCTGTTCCTCTGAAGGAAAAGCTGCGGCCTGATGTCTATTCTATGGTGCGTTACCCTGACTGGCACTTGTCTAATGCAACTGTAGTACTTGTAGTAGAGGCTCAAGGCGAATGGTGTTTTCCTAGTTTTATCCAGCAGGTGGCAGATTGAGATAACCTGTTGCACATGTCCGCCCCCCCCCCCTTCTGCACTCACTTTCAACCACATGTGCTTTTAACTTGTAAGTTATGTTTTTAATACATCATTAATGGGAATTTACTGTGCAAAGGAGTTGTTTAAATCACAGTCTAACATAATGTACAGTCTTAATGCAGTCAATAAAAGCATTAGTGTGTTAAACAAAGCATGAGACACACTGTGTTAACACTGGCACATTTACACATCAATGTGCATGATGAATATTGATGCAGTGATTAATCAATATTAAACATATTTTATTCTGACATTTGGCCATGAAGGTGCAACCCAAAATAAATCTTGAAACAATTCATAAGTTTCCAAAGTTTATTGTTTTTCATTTATCTTCAAAAAAAAAAAAGCAAGAAAATATTCTGTTCTTCCAGAAATAATAAATATACAATATTTTTTTTTATGAACAAAATGCACAATTTACAAAAAGCAGTGGCAACAGAGTGCTCCACCTCCTACACAGCACTGTGTGACTGTATGCATTCAACTCATTTATCACCGAGTTCTGACTGTTGTTAGTACGTCCTACTCTCATCGTTAACGTCTTACTTCTCTATACAGTATTACAGCTGCTCGCTCAAACTCAGTACATGTCCTCGTAGTGCTGTGTGTTTGTTATTCTACCATAATATTTTCACGGGGCTCGAAGAACACGGTCCGTTCGTTGCTTGCGTCGCGGCTGAGAGCTTATCTCGCACATTTTGAGACTCGACGAGTTGGTGAAGACTTCGGCGGTGCTGGAGCCGAATCCCTCCCCGTAGACGGAGGCAGCTCCTCCGTCTCCTTTCCGCAATGGTGTTGATGGCCATTCCTTGTTTATCACAGTCCACTAATCTGGTATGGAGGCAGTAGTGTCTGCAGTGTTTTGTCTGTGAGATAATGCTGTCCTGGGGTCAGGAGGTGAACAGCATGTGTGTTAACAGCCAGGCTAGAATGCAAGACGGCGTGAGTGCGCGGTGGACTGAGGCCGAGCTGGAGCTGGCCGGAGTGGAGGGAGCCGGACTGGGTTGTCGCTCTGCGGCAGAGATCTCCACCCGTCTGTGCTGCTCCTGATGGGTCATCGGAGGCTCCACTGTCACGTAGCCATTGATTATCCTCACGTTAGGTGGCGTAGTAGTGCTGGAGGGTAGAGGACAAGAAATCAGGGTCGTTCTGGTGTCGTTAAGTGAAAAATCACTACAGTAAACTGATCAAAAAAAGCAATATCTCACCTGTCCCCGATGCGAACCCACAGGTCGCTGAAGAGGCGGGGCCTCCCGTGGCCGCGGTGAGGTTTGCGAGGCCGCTTGTGTCGCCCGAATTCCTCCAGCTGGCTCAGGCTGTCGGGGAGCAGGATGTGAGGCAGCTCGTCGTCCCCGAGGCCGGGCATGCTCTCTGCGTAGTCCAGCTCCAGCTCTGACGGACTGGTCAGCCAGCTGTCCGGAGACGACGTGCTGCTGTCGGCGCCCTCCTCGCCGGACCGCGCTGAAGGCTCTTTAGCCGGTTTGCTCCTGCAGGAAAAAAAACAGATGGAGAGGATATGGACTCAGTTTATACTCATGGAAAGCCCACTCAGGATTTTTTTAGACCACATGAGTCTTAAGTGTCTGCAAAGGTATCACTAAAACCTTTGACTCATAGATGGAAAGTAAGGAAACTATAAGACTTTTTGAATGTTGTCCTTTGTGGTTTCTGACCACTACTGCTTTCCACTCAGCATCTCTTTACTTCAATCAATGACGTGGACGCCTCGCTCTATAAACGCTGCCCTGAGAGGCAGAAATATCCAGCAGGCGACATCAGAGGAAGTGACCGTACTGTTGCATCAAAACTGACATCTGCCCAGAGCAGACCACCCAGAATTGCCGACCTCTCTTCGAAAAACTTCTGCCGTGCTCCTCTTTCTTCCACCCATTACTCATACCGTCTCCTCTCGTCTCCTTCTTTAACTGTCAATATGGCTCGCATGTGACTTTGTGTTTCAAGCTAGAACATCATAAAATCCTATTGCACACGTCATCTAAGGGAGTCGCACTGAAACGAGCCGTAGCAAGTAAAAAATACAGGATGTCTTATGCGCGTGTCAAACGTTGTTGTTACTCAATCATTCTCCAACATGATATGGATCCTGGGATGGCTTTTAGTCATGATTTCTACAGCTCACTCATTATTGGTCTAGTCCCTCCGGTCATCATACATTTGATGGTCTGCTCTTCTACTTCTACAGACATGAAACCCCCCCGTCCCCCCCCCGTCGGTCAGGGTGATGATAGCTCCAGGCCTGCGGTCAAGCTACTGCGGAGCCAAACCCACCTCCGGCCCACTCCGTCTGTCAGTCATATAATAATACACCCTTTAAGACCTTTTGCCAGACGGGCCGTAACACTCACAGCTCTGAGGCTAACAGCTTTCCTAAACACCTCTCATTCAGCCATCTTGTGGTGTTTTTCCTTGGCCTGTCTTGTCACCTTCTATCAGGGAGCTAAACGTGTCTGCGCACACGTAGAAGTGTGCGGTCGTGTGTGTGTGTGTGTGTGTGTGTGTGCGCAGCGTACACGAGTGTTTCGTGACCACAGTAAGTCAGTCCACTTGTCAGCTTTGAAGCCAGAACCACTGGCTAAAGCCCACAACTCTGCAAACAGGGTGTAGGGAGATAGGGAGGCTGCGTTTACAACGGTAGTTTGCACGGAGAAGTTAGTAAAAGCCTCGGCTGGATGGATGGATGGATGGATGGATGGATGGATGGATGGATGCATTTACTCTTTTTTTTTTTTAAAGGAGTGCCCCATGTTGTTTCCAATTTTCGCCCTAATTCAAGTAACTCTCTTTACTACTTCATCACTGGGACCATGGATAAAACTCTTAGGTGAGAGGGGAGCTTCTTTGTGCCAAGGAATGGGGTTGCACACACACACACACACACACACACACACACACACACACTGAGACATTAAGAGGGATTGTGGAAGGTTGTTGTGAAGTACTGCTGCAAGACGCCAAGCCTCCGTGAGTTTAAGTGTGTGCACAACCCTCCTTGGCACGGTGCATCCCTCCACTCACTCATCACACACATGGCTGTGTGTGTGTTTGTGTTGACTGTGCTACCAGTGGCTGCTGAGAACAGGCAAAACCCCCCACTGGCAGCTCGCCTTTGGCAAGCAGGGGAGAGAGGGAGGGAGGGCAGGAAGGTGAGGGAGTTGATGAAGTACAATATCAAAGGATTCCTGCATAGCTTAGTTTTATTTGTTGCAGAGCACAATTTGGACCGTATCAGCGCTGCGCTTCAATAAATCTGCTGAGGCTAAATAGCTCCACTCTGGAGAGAATGAGATGGATGTTGCCTGGCTGAGCTGATGGATGTCCACATTTATCTGCTCGCCTGCCAAAAACTTAAGAGTGCACAAATGTTTTGTTTCACTGTCCATGTTCCCGTATACTGTGTGATGCTAGCACATAACCACGCCCTCTTTGTCTTTTTCCATTCATCACCTTTTTAGGATCTCTCTTGTAGCCGGGAATTGACTGCATGCGCAAAATTGGAATCAGCCGTTGCTCGTGATTAGATTATGTTTGTATTAGTTATTCTCCAAAATAAAATACTAAACTATTATGAACCTCGTCAGATTCGGTCATGTCAAACAATCACTGTATTTTGTCATTTACTAACCCAAGCAATCATCTACACTTCTTGTGTTTCAAAAACAGATTTTTTTTTTTGTTTGCATCTTTATAACACTTTAATGAAATGACATGCTCTGTGGTCCGTTACGCTCGTCTCTGCACACTCACTCTGGGACTGGCTCTTGGTGATCAGGGGGCACCTGGACGATCTCGTAGCCCTCCTGCCTCAGGATGTCCAGCACGCTGTGGTTCCCCAGGAAGTGACCTGACGGAAGACAAGAGGCCGGAAAGTCACGACAGATCCAGGAGGAGCAAGACAGAGTTCAAGCCAGTTTTCAGCTGAGCACGCATTTTGTCTGAATGACTGAATATCACCTGGGGAAAAATAAACATTCAGATGCTTTTACCAGCAACTTAAGTGTCTTTAAACATTGGACCCACTGCCAAACATTCAGCAGACCTCCCCCCACCAAAGACGATGTTCATCCATCCAAGGTGTAGGGATACGTATATAGTGTGCCAGTTCTGGTGCTGTCAGAAGCAAGAAACAGGGATTGTGGAGGATCTGTGAGATAGCAGGGACTGTTCGAATCTTCTGGGCGCACTCGGTAATGACCCCATATTGTCAGCACTCAACCTCCTGTCCCCTCTCCTTGTATACGATTCCTTCAGACCGACATCAAGCATGCCCCAGCCCCACACTGACAAAAGCTGCTTCTTTTTTTTTTTTTATACTCTCCCATCAGCCGATAATCCTGCGTGTCACTCAACCCGGCAGTACGCCTGACATCACCCCGCTACACACACCCTAACAGAAGAATTCGCATCCAAAAATGTTGCAAACGGGCAGGAATTCACACACACACACACACACACCTCAGCTCTCTCCTGCAGATTATTAACGACACATTGACAATATTCGAGCCTCTCACTGACTTTTACTTTCTGTCAGGGCCTTCTGCTCCCACTCAGCTCCTCACCCACCTCTGCCAATTTTATCATTACGATGTTCCTGATCATTCCTGAGAGTCGGAGAAGGAGGCACGCACTGTTACTCTTTCTTGGCAGCCGAGTTCAAAGGCAGCACCGGGATAGGCCGCGGACAACAGAGTGTCGGTGAGATCAGATGGGATTATGCAGAGGGTTAGGGTGTGGGTTTGTATTTGTGTGTGTTCTTGTGTTGCGATACATGTGTAGACAAAATATGTTCGCAATTGCAGATTTGAGGATGCATTTCTCATCCTTTGTCAGAACTTTTGCATCCCTTCAATAACCACAAAATGAAGATGTGTTGTCGTTTACCTCAGGATGAATTGTAATAACTTTGGTGATCCCTTAAAGAGATAGTTCGTTCTTTTTTAAGTTCTTGTCCTTTTCTCCAAGCTGGGGGCGTACTGACCGCCATCTTCTGTAGCTACGACACTGACTGTGGATAAGTACCTCATACAACTCCACTTCAAAAACAATCCAAACTGTCCCTTTAAGCATTTCTCTAGTGCCACCATCAGGTCAAAGATTACATTTGTCCAATGCTAGAACACATTATGTTGAGCATGTTAGCGTGCTAACATTTAGCTCAAAGCATTGCAGTGCCTTAGTACAGCCTCCCAGAGCCGCAAGCATGTCTGCTCTTAAGTCTTGTTTTACTGACAAACACCACATTTGCCAAATATGGTCGCCAGCGTGTGATGCCATGCTTGTAGAGAAACTGCAAACAATATACTCTATGGTTGACATAACATTCAGTAAGCAGTAGCCTATATAATACTACAGTTAAAACGTAATGATACATGAAAAAAGTCCCAGCCACAGATACCTTAATTACTACTCATTCTTCTCTCTTTTCTTTCATCCCTTTCTCCTAAAAAGACTCTGGGGCCAGAGCTCATTCAGTGGCCGCATGCTGACAGATTCAACCACCCTCATATCTGTGTCAAGCAGCTATTTCATTAATTCCTGCCGGCCGGCGGCAGAGAAGAACACCTCCTGTGTGTGAGGTCAAGCTGACCGTTTGATGTGCTGACTTGATTTCCTCCGCTCTGCTGTCATGCAATAGCACACTCAGACAGAGCAGTGTGCTTGTGTTTGTTCATTTGTGTGATGAAATTGTCGTGTTTTTTTGTTGTTGTTTTCTTCACAGCCAGCAGACCACATGTGTTTCATTTCCCAGACACACCTGCTGTAAATGTGTAGTGAGCGTTCGATCTCTGTCAGTAAACCCCGTTCTTTGTTTCAGGATGCTGTAAACATGCAGCCACTTCTTAAGCAACATGCCGTACCCACAAACAAACACGGCAGCCATGCAAATACTTATGTCTGCAAGACACGAAGAAACCACAGCTACAAACACACACTTGAGCACACATGCCCCCTCGCACACACACACACACACACTGTCCTAATCGAGGTGAAAACCACCACTTGTCAAATTTCGGTAACTTGATTGAGGGATTGCTCGGTTCCCCATGAGTTGGCACAATTTGTCAAACTAACAAAAATGTGTATATGACTTCCTAATAATTTTGACTTTTGGAAAAAAGTTCATTCACAAGCTTTCCATCTGACAACAGTGGTACGTTTGTTTGTTGCTGTGTGTTTTTTGTGGTTCTTCCCTGTGTGTGACAAATGACTGTGTGTGCGTGTGTGATGCTGGGCTTGTGTGTTTTGTTTTTAGAATATCCAGACAGTAACCAGGGAGCCGGCCCAACAAACAGCTCCATTAGCACAGAGGTAGTGAGAGGTCAGCTGACTCTTAATTGCTCCCCTGCTGCGTGTTGCAGTCCACTACAAAACATGCTGCTCTGTATGTGGAAGGTACTGAAAGTACTAATGTTTGACATTTTCTACACAAATGACTGTCTCTCGATTTGGTATTTTACAGTTTAAATATCAAGCGATGGAGACGCAATTCAAAATCTTCCATATGTAGGAACTATTTATAGTTCACGACAAGGTCTGTGAACTATCTCGAGTAACCGGATCATGATTTCAAAGAGACATTGCTGTTGAGTTTTTCAAATGTTTTTTTTTATTATTTTGGGGTGAATTGTCTCTTTAACTTGACAGAAAATCAGCAATAGTTTTTTCCTAAAAGAGGAACAATAGGAGTCATTTTCTATTTTCTGCTCACAGACTTTAATAGAACATTGACCACATGACGTTGGAAGGCCTCTACCAATTAAATGTAGCAATGAGAAAGCAAAATATTATTCAAAAGACATAATACTTATTTTTTCCTCATGTGTCACCGCCATCAGCTAGCTCTGTGTCTTAATGTTTTGCAGCTGTGAGAAGCTCCTCTATTTCCATGATTAACGCTTTTTATGGTTTTGTTTAGGCCCTCACTGAGAGACTTTGGTTGAGATTAGGTTTGAAACATCGCAGTCTTGGTTAAATATTGACAACGTCAAAAGTGACTTGAAGCACGAGTCAGGACGTGTTGACTTACTTCCTAACGTTTGATGGAAACCACAATCTTTCCCCGAACCTTAACCAAAGAGAGCGTGTTGCCTAAACCCAACCACACGCTGGACCTGGGACGCTCTGATGTCACCGTGTATGTTGGGACATCAACAGCCCACTTATGATGCGTGCATCCCAAGGAAACAGAAGGCAGACCATCTCTAGCTTCTGTACTGTGAGCATTCCCCTGGTGAAGCCAATATTTGTGTGATGTGGATTTAAAAACTATTAAATAAATGTTTTTTTTTGCTTTTTTTTGCATTTCTTTAGTTAAGTTTGTCTTGGCCCGAAATTCCATACATGCTATTTTTTCAGAGTTATGTGTGTATACAATGGAGAAAAACTGTAATACAGTATTTTTTTTCCCCTCTGATTTTGCCACAGGCGCCCTGTTTGTAGTTCTGCACATATATAAACATTGCAATACCTTCATCAGTGGGCCATAGGCTCAGTCACCATTGCATTACTTGCCACTATAATATGTAATACGCAATTGGGACCAGGCTTCGGTCTTCATCATCATCTGCATCACAGTGTTTTATCTGCAGAGTGCCGTGTGGTGTCATTTAAGTAACTTGTGGTAAAGTGGCTTTAAACCACTTCCAACCACTTTCCCATATCGCCCAACCCTCCGGTCTTTCTCACTGCTCTGCTGTCATCACTCTTAATGAAGCAGATATGCCTTAAATATAATAAAAATAAGAATATCCCGGAGCAACAGTGAATTCTTGCAGTGTGTGTGTGTGTGTTTACCTTACAGGGTGTTTCCCCTCCTGTGGCTCCTGAGAGCAGAGTTAAAGACCCAGTTTCTCTGTTTAATAACTCTCATCCTGATTTCCACCTACAGTAGCGTCTTAATGTACTCCACTCTGTCTGTGTTTACCGTAGCCACCTCTTGTCTCGGGCCTATCTCTTTATCTGTCTGGCTTTCCAGACTCAATCGTGTCTTTTTAAAGCGTCCGCGCACGTCCGATTGTCCCTGCGGCTCCGTCTTCCATCTTCTATTTGTTTGTCTGTCAGTTTTTCCACTCCTCTCTCTCTCTCTCTCTCTCTCTCTCTCTCTCCATGTCAGTTTGTGTATGAATGCAGTTGTTTTTGTTGCAAAAAAGGAGGTGTTGTAGCAAGTCTCTCTCTTTACCAACACCCAGCCTGGGCCTGCTCTCCTTCTATCTCTCTAGCCCCCTTTGTTTCCCCCTCTCTCCTCCACAGGCTTAGTCTCCCCATGCCTCCTTTTATGTCTATTCACCTTTCTTCATCCCTCTGGAGAACCTCCAAAGTGCAAAGACAAAGGTAATGGAAACAGGGAGCATGTTAAGCGTTGGAGAGATTAGTCCAAAATGCACAGGAAGAGAATTATGTTAGTTTTCAGTTTTACGCAAACAAATGTGTTTGCAATTACACTGTGTAAACAATGGATCAACTGATGCACGCTTGCGGTTTAAAAACATCCCACGTGGCTCGCAAGCGGACCACCTCATATGAAAATTGCAATCAGAGCACTAACGGTAAGAAAACACGAGGGAGGAGAGTTCGCTGATGGATTGAGTGTGTAAAATCAGGAAGGACGGCGACAAGATAGATGGACATGGAGAATAGCTGGAGGGAGTGAATGGAGGTGGAGGACAGACGGAGAGGGACTGCATCTACTGGCCAGAGTGCATGCTGGGTGCTGTTGCCACATTATGGTCCAAACAAACACAAGCTGTTGTCTTGCAGCCATTTGAACAACAGATGAAAGAGAGAGAATACAGTGAAGAGAGAACCCCGGTAAACAGCGGGGTTCAACTTTACAGTTGACAAAGG